TATATATATATATATATATATATATATATATATATATATATATATATATATATATGATAACTGAAATTTTTAATTTTTGATTCGATTTTAATATTTCCAAAAGTATTCCGAAAATTATTGTTTCTTTCTTCCTACAAATATATTTAAACTGTTAATATATCGGGAATTGCTTTTTGCGGTTTGAAAATTGCTATTTGCGATTGATAACAAAAAATACTTTATCTCTCTAAAACCCCAAAACTTCCTAAAAAAATCCAAAAACCCCCCATTCATGCAGTGCACGCCCAAGTTGGGCGTGCAAGCTGCATTTGGGCGCCCGAGTTGGGCGTCCAGTGCAAAATTGTTTTATTTTTTTTTAATTGAACGCCCATCTTGGGCGTTCCAACATGTTTTTGCGAAAAGAAAAAGCCCTACAAATCGATTTGTAGGGCTTTTTAACATGAAATTAGTTCCGTAATCAAACCCAATGCATATTACACATAAAAGAGTCGGAATTACATCAAAAAATCGAAACCCAACCCTTCTTCAAGCTTGATTTCGATTTTTTGAATTTTTTTCTTTTTTTTTTGCTATTTGCAGTTTTGGGGGTTTTTTGATTTTTGAAAAGTTTTTGGGGATTTTATGAAAAACCGCAAATAGCAATTTTGTAACCGCATTTCATATATCATAACATATTGATATTCATATGATGTATTTAAAAATAATTGATGTAAAAAATTAACATAATATTTTTTTATATAAAGTATTATATTGGAATGATAAACAGTTATTCTATTATATTTTTCAATTTAATATTATATAATTTTCTTTTTACTTTTCTTTAGATTGTTTCAAAAAAAAAATCTGGTTTCTCCACAAACGATTTTTGTTCAAGTCCCTAGTCTCTAGTGAAGATACACCAAATCAAAACCCACTGAAAACAAGGGTCCCACTAACTATTTCACATTATAGATTGTCAACGAACAATTTTAAATTATGTGATACAACTATATATAGTAATTAGTACATGTTACAATGCTAATTACTTTGCTTCATACGTATATAATTCGGGGTGGCCCTTTTTTTATTTTTTATTTATTTATTTTTTTTTTTTTTTTTATACCATACCATACTGCCCTACTAACCGAGACGACGAATTCCTTTCACTAGGCACTGAATCTCCCAAGCAATCGATGGCCCATAAAAAATAGTTTTAGCCTCTGCAAAAATGAGAGATCCCTTCCCATAAAAGTAAGAAAAAACTCGAACCAATTTCCCGTCAAATGTCTGAATAATAAGTTAAGAACATATATTTAGAATACTAGCGCTTAAATACTATTTTTGAGCATTTCAAACAAGGATATGCGTTGAATTGCTTTGAGAAAACTGATGTTCAATTTTGACTATAATATAAATGGGTAATTATTATTATCATATCGAACCATATCGAATTTTTGATATACCGAATTTTTTATGTAGGACAATGGTAATGAATTTCACAAGTCCAAAGTTTCGGTAACGGTAGTGGTTTAATGGATTTGACACGGTTGCCCTACCAAACCCACCCCTTGATATATTGACATTTATTTTTCTTTCATTATCACTTTTTTTTTAATATATATTTCAATTATTCTTAATTATAATTTTGGTTCTATATTATATCACTTATTAAACGAAAATCTTATATAATTTAAAATGATATTTGGGAACAAAAATTGAATAAATCGTAAAATATATGGACGAAAATAAATTAGTTATCCGTTATTATATTACAACCATCCAATATTAATGAAAGAAACAAGTTTGTACATTTCTAATTTGGCTAATAAAATAATGGTGCTCCAGCCACTAACGTTGCAATGGACAAATACCACAACTTATGATGTCACGTCCATATCACACTGCCTATGTTATCTTCAATTTATTGCTCTACTCTACATACATATGTCTCCATAATTAAATAATTATTTTTCTCAATTTATTTCTACATGTTTGGAACTAATATTGTAATTAATTTTCTCAATTTATTTCATTTGATCCGGTATTCGATTTCTAGAAATTTGCAGATAATATCTAATAAATATATTTTTTTATAAAATGATAGTTAGTTTTCTATTTTTTGTAAAGTGATAGATGCTACACATGATTATTTATATCGAGTGGATTTTAACCATAGATTTACACATAAACACACACTCTCATACGTATGTAGGCTTATTGAGTGGTTATTTAATCAGATTTACGGTTGAAATACACTCAAGTGGTGTTTGCAAAAGCTTTTACAAATAGATTATAAGTTTTTTTTGGCTCATAATCTACTTTTAAGTGTTTGCAAAATAAACTTTTGCTTTTGCTTATCTTAAAATAAGCAACTTTAACCCTATAATTTACTAAGCATGCACCCATGACCTTTTTTTTTCTATTTAAGTTTATTTTCCAGTAAATTTGCAAACATTCCCAACTTTTAGAAATAAGCACTGGTGGTGTTTGCAAAAGCTTATTTAAAAGCAGAAGTTCGTAATTGTGAGTTAAGTTGGTTTTAAGTGCTTATTTCTAAAAGTTGAGGGTGTTTGCAAATATTTTGAAAAATGAACTTAAACAGAAAAAGCATGTTAAGGGATGTTTTAAAAAAAATAGCTTAAAGCAGATTATTTTAAGAGAAAACAAAAGCTGATTTTATGAGGAAAAAAAAAGCTCATAATTACTTTTAAAAAGCTTTTGCAAACACCACCTTAAACCCAACTAAAATTACAATCCATAACTTCTGCTTTTAAATAAGCTTTTACAAATACCACCTCAGTATAAATAACCGGATGTAGCACGTAACTCCTCCACTTTCATAATGTTGAATGTTGATGCATACATTTTGCATCCCAACCAACCAAATTGCTCTATTTCAAATCCAACGCACTCAGAATATTCCCACGTTTCACTAATTTCTCAACTTTTTTTTTATATATTTTTTTTATCATCTTCTTCTCAATATCACTTTTGCTTGTGTTCGTTCATATATGATATATACCCCTCATTAAATTTGCCAATTGCCATGCCTTTTCCATTTCTCAAAATACAAGCATGAAGTTATTGGTGTTTCTATCACTACTTTTCTCTTCCCTCTTTCCAAGTGCATTTCCACACAAAATTTCAAGACCAACTTATGTGAGAATCGGTTCGATTTTCTCGCTCGGCACCATCAACGGCAGGGTGTCGAAAATCGCAATGAACGCCGCCGTGGAAGATGTAAATTCCGATCCCACCTTTCTCGGCGGCACCAAAATAAGCCTCTCCATATACGATTCGAACTACAACGGCTTTCTTGGCATCATTGGAGGTATATTAATTATATATACGTTTAAACCTCTATAATTAATTTTAAACCTCTATAATTAATACAGTCGGAACAAGCAAAATTCTATTAATTTAGCGAAATATTAAATTATCGAACTAATAATTTAGTAGATTTTTACCGAGTCGGGACCAGAAGAAACTATTATTTAAGCAAGGTTATTAATTTATCGAGGTTCTACTGTAATCATTTCTTGTCTTAACTCTTAACACAAGTTCACCTATGTTACTATGTATAATATTCTTATGTCTTGTTTGGCTCGAATAGGATTGCAGTACATGGAGACGAAGACGGTCGCCATCATAGGTCCACAAGTCTCCGGTATGGCCCACATTCTATCGCACCTCGCCAATCAACTCCACGTCCCGATGTTGTCCTTCACCGCACTCGATCCGGGCCTACAATCTCTACAATACCCCTTCTTCATCCAAACGGCCCCTAACGACCTCTTCCAAATGATCGCCGTAGCCGACATGATAAGTTACTTCGGATACAGAGAGGTCGTTGTGGTCTGCCCCGACGACGAGCAGAGTCGGGGCAGTATCATAGCTCTCGGCGAAAAACTCGCCGAGAGGCGCTGCAAGATCTCTTACAAGGCGCTTCTCTCGCCCGAGTCTTTAGCCACGAGCGAAGAAATCATGGACGTGTTAGTCCAAGTTGCTCTCATGGAATCGCGCGTGATTATCGTCCATGCCTTTGCAACTGTTGGCCTCAGGGTTTTCGATATCGCGCATAGGCTTGGGATGATGGATAAAGGCTACGTTTGGATTGCCACCGCTTGGCTTTCCACGGTATTGGATTCGACTCCGGTTTCTGCAGAAAAAGCCGACTCGATCCAAGGTGTTATTACGTTCAAGCCTCATATCGAGGATTCTGCGAGGAAGAGAGAATTCTTGTCTCGATGGAACAAATTGAGTAACGGTTCGATTGGATTGAACCCTTATGGATTATACGCTTACGATACCGTTTGGACGATTGCTAATGCAATCAAGAAATTTATGGATAGTGGCGGTGTGATCTCCTTCTCCAACGACTCGAGTTTGAATGGCTTAGGAGGGGCTTTGAATCTTGGTTCTTTAAGTAGATTCGACGGCGGTAAAGAACTTCTCGCGACGATATTAAAAACCAACACAACGGGTTTAACGGGACAAATTGCGTTCAATCCTGATAAATCGGTTGTACGCCCGTCTTTCGACATCCTCAACGTGATAGGAAAGGGGTACAAGCAAATAGGGTATTGGACTAATTATTCCGGCCTTTCCGTTGTGGGCCCGGAGATTCTCTACACGAGAGCTCCTAACCGTTCGAGTTCTAACCAACGGTTGTACGATGTTGTCTGGCCGGGACGGACGACAGTGAAGCCACGTGGATGGGAGTTTCCTAGGAACGGAAGGCCGTTGAGGATCGGGATTCCGGATAGGGTGAGCTACAAAGCTTTTGTCTCGAAGAACGAGAAGACGAACGATATCAATGGATTCTGCATCGATGTATTCCTCGCAGCTAAAAACCTACTCCCGTACGCGGTTCCTCATGAGTTTATATTGTTTGGAGATAAACAGAAGAACCCTAGCTATACGGAGCTCGTGAGCATGATCAACTCCGATGTGAGTATTCTTATTCGGGTTTATTGCATGCAGCACCCCTGTGTTTTGTCTAATTGCTACGAAATTTTCCGGTTATAAATATTAGTAAACATCCCTATACGAATTAAACTACGACCTAAAAACTCACCGTTCAGGGTTTTTTTGCTAATATTTATAACACATTTTTTTAGCAATTCGATATAACACAGTGGTACTGAATGCAATAAAATCATTCTTACTATTAAAATTGAATAAATGCAAATAAATTTTGTGTGTCATATAATTAACAACATGTCTCTATTATTACATTATATATTTATGTATGTATGTTTTAGGTGTTTGATGCTGCTGTTGGTGATATAGCGATTGTGACAAACCGGACGAAGATTGTGGACTTTACGCAACCGTATACAGAGTCGGGGCTAGTCGTGGTAGCACCGGTGAAGAAGTTGAACTCGAGTCCTTGGGCATTTATGCGTCCTTTTACTCTATCGATGTGGGCCGTCACGAGTGTTTTTTTCCTCATCGTTGGATTTGTTATTTGGATTCTCGAACACAGAATAAACGACGAGTTTCGCGGTCCGCCGAAGAAACAGTTCATCACAATTTTATGGTCAGTCATTGCATCATATATTAGTTTCAATGCACTAAATTTTTTTTAAGACATCATATTTTATGCAATAATCCCACCTTGTTCATTTTTCTTTCATCTTGCAGGTTTGGATTCTCAACTATGTTTTTTGCACACAGTAAGCAACATATTCATATATTCATTTATTTGGGTTTACTACATTTAATTTAGGACAAAATGCAATTCACCCCTATAAATTTCCCATTTTCGCACTTTCCCCCCCTAAAAATTCAGAAAATAGATAACCCTCACTTGAAATATTATTTTAGTTGCAATTTGCCCTAAAAACTAATTTTCGGTGGGCATCGTGCAACAATAGTAACATTTTAAAGGGACAATGTAGAAAAATAATATTTTCCAGGGGCAACGTGCAACAAAAATAACATTTAAATGACCAACATGCAAAAAAAAAAAAAAAAAAAAACCTCGATTCCGGTTAATATTTCATTGGAATTTTGCTTTCGGGGCAGTGTACAACAAGTATAACATTTTGAAGGGGGGCATTCATTTTTTTAAATTTTGAGGGGGTATAGTGCGAAAATAAAAAAATTATAGGGGGTGACATGCAATTTGCCCTTTAATTAATTAATTAATTAATTATAATATTTGCAGGAGAAAACACAGTGAGCCCATTGGGCCGTATGGTGCTACTGATATGGCTATTTGTGGTTCTAATAATCACATCAAGCTACACAGCCAGCTTGACTTCAATCTTGACCGTCCAACAATTAGCACCATCCATCAGAGGAATCGAGTCGATGATCACGAGCAACGAACGCATCGGATTCCAAGTTGGATCGTTCTCCGAGAGTTATCTAACGGAGGAACTCAACATAGCACAATCTAGGCTCATTCCTTTAGGATCCCCCGAAGAATACGCAGACGCGTTTAATGAAGGGAGAGTTGCTGCAATTGTGGACGAGCGCCCGTACGTCGATTTGTTTCTGTCGAAATATTGCATGTACCAGGTTGTCGGACGAGAGTTCACTAAAGGTGGTTGGGGATTTGTGAGTATCTCTTTTTACATCATCAACTCAATATTTTCGATTTCCGGTTACGATTAGAAATTTTTCGATTTTATAATGAACATTATTCTAGTCCATTTCGCTATTTTCTTTTTTGAGTTTTTTTTTATATGAAATAAAATAAATATAAGATTCCAATTTCAGTTTTGGAAAATAATTTTGGAATTCCGATTTCTTTTTTTCTTCTGGAATTTGCACATATATTATTCATACTATTATTTATTTTATATTTTACGTGACTAAAATTTTTGGAATTTTCGAATTTTGTCGATTCCAATAAAAAAAATTGGATTTTTATGCAAGTTTTTCATTTCAATTTTGGAAACTCCGATTGTCGATTTTTCCGATTATTTTGGAACGGAACTGAATTATTTTTTCACTTTCCAAATATTGAAACTTTTCGGAAAGTGCTAAATCCGATCTGATCTATTCGATTTTCACCCCTACAACATTAGTATTCATCAAATCGTTAGACCGTGCCATCATAATCGTCTCTAGCTATTTTGTGGCCTATAAAGCAAGTAATTAATAAATTGAGGCCATTTACGATTTTCGTGATATATGATATAAATTAAATTGCATTCTTAGTAAATTACCAAAATACCCTCGTAAAATCTTACGAATAACGTCCTAATTAAGCAAATTATTGTGCCCCTAAACGAATTTTCTTTAATTGACCGCAGGCATTTCCAAGAGATTCTCCACTGGCGATGGACATGTCGACTGCGATATTAACACTATCCGAAAACGGGGATCTTCAAAAGATACACGACAAGTGGCTAAACACGAGAGCTTGCAGTTTGCCGAACTCTTTAGATTCGGAGCAGCTTCAATTGAAGAGCTTTTGGGGTCTTTTCCTAATAAGTGGAATTGCATGCTTGCTTGCTCTTCTACTCTATTTTTGTTCCATTTTCCACAAATTTAAGCGCTATTTTTCTGAACAACAAATTACCAATATATCCTCGTCTTCATCTAAGAGGAGCAGCAGCTCGAGATCCGTAAGAATCCAGAAGTTTCTATCGTTTGTGGATCGGAAAGAAGACGAGTCGATGAATAAAACAATGTCTCGGAGTAGACAAGAATTCGTTGCTTCGTCGAGTGTGACCGAGAGAAATGGAGCAGGAGTTTATCCCGATCACGATGAGGGACAAAATGGTAATTAATCATCCTAACTAGCTAATTTCATTAACGTTCAAAATACATTCATATATGATATATCGTCACATGCATGAATTATGAAATCAACTTACTAATTAATTAAGGTTTGTATTATGAAACTTGCTTTTATATATATATATATATATATATATATATATATATATATATATATATATATATATATATATATATATATATATATATATATATATATATATATATATATATATATATATATATAAATATAATACATATATGTGAAAATATCATATATACGTGCTGAAAACTATGCCATTGAGACATAAATGGACAGACAAACGTAACATGTATGTTTTACTAGAGTTATTTACAATTTTCACTCCCCTCTTATCACGTGCAAGTGATATCGGTAAATCTTTATTTCGAAACTCGTATGCTCATAAAAAACATGTTACATGAGAAATAAATTATGTTGAATAATTATATGTTCAAATAAAAGTAGATAATATAATTTAACCTCTCAATAAAATGCTTATAAAGAGCATGAATTTATTTTTATTTTTTGAGGGGTTTATTCTAATTTCCTTTCTAAAGTATCCACCATATCTTAGTGAGTGTGTGTGTGTGTGTGTGTGTATATATATATATATATATATATATATATATATATATATATATATATATATATATATAGAGAGAGAGATATATATGACACGTGACATCACTATTAACTCACATCAAACAGATATGTAAGACTATACTTTATATATATATATATATATATATATATATATATATATATATATATATATATATATATATATATATAATTCTCACCTCCACATAACATATACATATAAATATATGGCGACCCTCACCTTACTAGTGGTAATGATATATCATCGGTTGTAGAGGAAGCCGCCTCCTCTCAGCCGTCGCCGCAGAATGCTTTAGCCTTTATCCCCTCAGCCGCAGAAAGCCTCTGCCTCTAAGGCGCAGCCTCCTCCTCTCAACCGCCATCGTCAAGTGCGAGCGAAGCCTCCTCCTCTCAACCGCCTCAAGAAGCCTCTATGGCCCCATACGTGGGTATTGTTGATATATCACCAAGTGTGGTATCTGCTAAGCAAATAATATTGCATAAATTGCCACCCCATGTGCAAGAAAACAAGATGCACATTTATGATCCCATGGTTCTTTCCATCGGCCCATATCACCACAGCCGGTTGTCAGAGATCCAAAAGACCGAAGAAATCAAGGAGGAGATTGTTAATTTGACGTTGAACTCAAATGGCAAAGATTTTTTCGTCCGCAAAATTCTCAAGCGGATTGATGGGGTCAGATACTTCTATGGTGGAATTTCGACACATGAGTTCGACGATGATGCATTGGCTCAAATGATGCTTCGCGACACTTGCTTAGTCTTATACTATATCAAGTTAGGTAAAAACAGAGGTCAACTTATTAGTTTTTTGGCTGGGATGTTACACGGTTAGGTTAATGCTTCATGATTTCTTAATGTTGGAGAATCAGATCCCGTTTTGGATAATAAAGCTCCTAATCGACTTCACAATTGAGGATGGGGACGAATTGCTATGCACATTCTTGAGTGATAGCAATTTTGCGGACTATAGGCTCACATAAGTTCCATGGAAAAAATGAGAAGAACATATGCACCTTATTGAAGCCCATCACATCACTCTTGTCAAATAGGAGATCAATGCTCATAGCAGATCCCCTGGGGCAAAACAATTATAGTGGAAACGTTGCTTTGAAAATTCAAAGCAGCCCACGTTATTCAGTGACATAATTGAAAACAATGGGTATCCACTTCGCACCGAGTTCTACTTGCTTAAGAGACAAGAGATTCAATTCTAACTTCTTATATGGGGAGCTATGTCTTCCTATTTTGTATGTTACTGGCTATTCAAAAGTGTTCTTCTACAACACTATAACCTTCGAAATGTCCTCAGAATCCAAAACCGACTATACCGTGGCATCGTATATTACTTTCATTAAAACATTAATTGAGAATACAAGGGATGTTAAGGAGCTAAAAAGGAAGGACATATTGTTCGGCACTTTGGCGAATGATGATGAATAGGTTAAAATGTTTAAAGAGATCGACGGTCTCGATGATTATGGTTCGCCATATCTTCTAGATGTGCAAGACCTAATTAACAAGCATTGTTCTAATAATGTCAACACATGGATGGCAGAGCTACTTCACAAATACTTCGGTAGTCTTTGGAGTGTTACAGCGTACTTGTTAGAGTAGGTGACCAACAAGCCAACTTGTGGCTGTGGTCTTTCTCTTTTTCCTTGTAATAAAACAATCATTTTTCGTTCGTAATAATAAAATATTTCATTTGGCATTCTATATCTCTTATCCCATGCAAGCAGCATAGATATAGTCCTAACGAGTTACTCTATTACTGTGAGTTGATCTAGTAGAATCGTGAGATAACTCAGCAATGTAATGTAACTGTTAAACCTTGTTCATAGTCGATGGGTTACGCCAATAATGAGGATACCGGCCTTTCCCTTTTGAGACTAGCACTTAGTGTATGTGTACTGCGTCTCATCAGTCCTCGATGTTGTGACATCGGCATACTTGAGTGGGTGCTCATACTGGATGAGTTCACTGAACTCCAACGCCCTAGAAATCTATAAGTGGTTCTCATTCATCGAGTAATAGGTTTCTAAGATATAGTTGTACACCATTAGTCCTTAAGACCCAGACATCACCGTGACTTCACTAGAGGACCGATTGTATCGTGACCTGTCCCTGAGTCCCACAGCGGACCACTCCAAGGGCCAACGTTCGTGCAATCCGAAATCTAGTGTGAAGTATGTGCATTGTAGTAGGGGATTCGAGCGCTTGAGTAGTCATGGATGTCCTGTGTGTTCTGACGGTTTATAATCCAAGGAATCTCTGGCCAGAGTTGATAGTAGGGTGATTAGGGAAATGTGTTTCCCTAAGTCACACACGAACGGATTTATAATACTTAGAACGTTCGCACGGTTATTGAACTTTATAAGAGGTCTCGGTGAACCAATGCCTCTAGTTCAATCGGGACATTTGCTGCGAAGGGATCGTACTGTACGCTAACTATATCATAAGGTTCTTGCAGGCACTTCACTTGTATCTAGGGAATCATGATGCGTAGTTGCTAGACGCCAATCTTGATTCGTTGGGCACCGATTTGATCGGCGATTAAGTAAAATGAGTTTTACTCTAATCGGGACTCTTGGGAGGAGTTCGTATAAGAACAATGTGTTGTTCGAATCACAAAGAGTTGTGAGCCCACGGCTAGCTCACACCTGAACCATTGAGGGTCACACTTCTCGTGTAATACGGATCCTTGATAACAATGAGCATAGGTTAATATGTTAATCTTTGCAAAGTTGGAGGTCAATATGATTGAGTCCAAGATTCGTGATTGTGGATTACGAGTCGGAATAAACGTAGAGAAAGAGACATGCGGAAATTAGTGAACTTTCTAAATTGGGAAGTTTCCCGATTTAATAGGTCCACTGAAGTGGAAGTTTCCACTTTTGGAAATTGGAAATTTGGAAGAGGCACTCGTATCGACGAGGACTTTAAGCTCGTCACAAATATAATTTTGTTATAATTTTGTGAACGATCGTTTACTAGAAACGACGCCGACGAGGGAATGGGCTTAATGCATCAGTGGGTCAAGCCCAATGACTTAAATCCACAAGGGTTGAGAACCCTAGTATAAATAGACCTCAAACAAGAGTTTGAGATCAGATTTTTTACTCCAAAATCCCTAGCCGTCGAGCCCTAGCCGTTCAAGCCTCTCGGCCGCCGCTGCCCCGCCGCACCGGCGCCGTTCGCCGCCGAAAACCGCCGGTTTTCTCTTCTCTTTCTCTCGTATTTCCCTTGTTATCTAACCCCTTTGTATCTAATGCTACAGTAGGGGGAGATCAGTTTATTCGAGGTGAAACCTGATTGGAGAGGAGCTGCAGCCCCAAAGGCATCGTTGCACCGCCGCTGCACCGCCCCACGCGCCGCCGCCGCTGACTCGCACGCGCCGCCGTCGCCTCACCGTCGGACCAGCTGCCGTTTGGTGGTATTTCTGCAGCCCTTAGGAGTGGTATAACGCAGCTTGTACGGGTTTGAGTTTGGATTTCGATTCGTCGAAATCTCACGCTACAAGAGGTAATTAAATCGGAACTTTCATAAATTTGATTCGAATATGTTTGTGTGAACTTTAATTTACGAGCATGAGTAATATGTGATTACGTGTTTCGATTTTGCAATATGATGAACAAGCATGTTTTATATTTTTCGGTTTTACATGTTTTGATAAAAATCGATAATTGCCATGTGTATGGCGGAAGCCTTAAGGTACGTTGACTATGTGATTAGTTTATGCATGTAATCGAAACTAGTTCGATCTAAAAAAATTAAATTCCGCTGCGTATACATGCACAATCCCCAACAGTACTTCGTTGCCACCTTTCTTCTGGTCTTTACTATTCTCCGAACTTACTACACCATGCGTCCACCAAAATAAGACTTGGTTGTTCTATGTGCTTACTTACTACGCTATGCGTCATGTTAATTGGATAGGGGGTTTACTGTTGACCGATACTGGATTCTTCGAGTTAGTGGTTCATCGAACGGCATTATTATTGTTCTTGGTTTTTCTTTTTATCGATGATTGTTCTTTCCCTTTTTTTTATCAATGATTGTTCTTGCTCATGTCGGAAAAGAATATAGGTTAGAAGAAAAGAGTACCCCCATCGGGGGGAGATCGTTGGTTTGGTGGTCGCCGCCCATGGAGAAGAAATGCGGCTAGGTTTTAGGCCATGAAGAAGAAGAAGAAGAACGAAAAAGATAGAGAACCACCGGGGGAGAGAGAAAATTCGGGTGGTGTTCTTGGAAAAGATAGAAAAAGAAAGATATTAGAATACCACCACCGGGGGAGGGACAAAATTGGGCTGGTCACCGCCATGGAAAAGAAGGGCGGCTAGGTTACAAAACCTGGTGCTCTGATACCATATAGAAAGAATAGAATTGGAGAGAAATAATAATACGTAATAGAAACCCCCCATTATGTTATGGGTTGATTTACATGGAATATATATAGAGAAATAATGCAAGGTAATAGAGTTTGACTAGTGATCCAGCCCGGTATCGCTTGATGGATCCAATAAAGACCAAAGGCCCAAACAAGGTCAAAAGGCACCATTTAAGCCCATTAACAGAAGAGGGCCCATCAAGCTGGTACTCGTTAGGCGAGAGGGACCAGGCAACGGATCGCGAGTAGGCAGCGAGCGAGAGGCTTCTCGCTGCCTCGCTCTCTCGCCAAGCTGCTTCGCTCTCTCGCCAAGCTGCTCGCCCCCAACCGGAGATGATCATTGCTGCACATGGGGGTATTTAATGCACGTCCAATCTACTGACAAGCGCAGAAGAATGTCTCTTCGGCCCCTACTTTTTGCCCCCGCAGCCGCCAATGAAATGACGGATTAAACTGCATTGAAGGTAATTTGAGGTCCGGATGCCTAATTACCGCGATGGGACATGTAAATTAAATTGAAGAATATTTGACGTCCGTCCCTTTTCTTTAGTATAAATAGGGGCAGTAAATACAGGTAAATTACACACACAAAAGCATATACCTAAATTACGCACATAAACATAATATCTTCTTCAGTAAGTTACTGACTTGGCCGTCGGAGTGCTAACTCCAGCCTAAGTCCGGATCTTTTCTTCCTTGTAGGTTTACTGTGGTCTCCGGTCCAACTCCAGGCCTACTCAACTCTTTAAACCAGCCCACCACGAATCCAGTCGGATCAAATGGCGCCGTCTGTGGGAAACCGTTGAGCAAAGCTGTGGCAACGTTTTCCTTTAAAACACCTTTATCTGTTTTCCGTTAATCAGTATACGTTTATCAATGGCCTCGTTTCCCAGCATAGTAAGGGATCTAACCAGTCAGATGGAGTCCGAAGCAACCCCAGCCCCGCAGGAGCACCAACCAGCCGTCGGAGAGGCCTCTACCGCGAGAGAGGAGACGCCGCAAGCAGCCGGCATTACGGGAGGTAGCCCTATGGTCGCCATGACTATGGAAAACCTGCAGGCACTCTTGGCGAGCGCTGTCCAGGAGGGCTCTGTGCGCACGCTAAAGGAGCCCAAGGTTGCGTCGCCCAAAAGAAGGATGGGGGAGATTGGGGGGCGAGGGAGCGAGGGACCCGCCCGCGCAAGTTCCTCGCTCAGTGCATTAAGCCCCTTCTCAGCCGACATTCTGGATGACGATCTGCCACACTCATTTCGACCTGTCACTTACGAATACTTGGGAACCACCGACCCTTGTGAGCATCTCAGTCGCTTCAATAACACTTCGGATTTGCACCGATTTACTGAGGGAGTGAAGTGTCGGGTCTTCGCGACTACGTTAGCGGGAGCCGCACAAGCTTGGTTCAGCCAGCTGCCTGCGGGCACGATTCGCGGTTTCGACCAGTTAAGCGCCTGTTTTATGGATCACTTCGCGAGCTCAAAGAAACAGAAGAGGAGCACCCTGACTCTGTTCGTGGTCAGGCAGAGGGAGGGAGAGCACTTACGAAGTTTTATCAACCGCTTCATCTCGGCCACCTTGGAGGTACCAATCACCTCGGAAGAAGTTTTGATCAGCGCTCTCGCGCAAGGACTGCGGGCGGGCGATTTCTTCACTTCGCTCTCGAAAAAGCCCCCCGCATCTTTTAATGCTTTGTTGAAAAAGGCCGAGCGATACATGAACGCCGAGGAAGCAGTGCATAATAAATTTGGCGAGGGCAAAGGCAGCCACGAGGCAAAAAGGGAAAATAAAGAGGATAGAATGCAGAAACCAACTCAACTTGCGAGAAGGGAGGTGCAGAACGAGAGAAAAATAGGACCTCGTTTTGACAGCTATGCAACGCTGGTCGCACAACCAGGAGAGATATTGTTGGCCATAGAGAATAACCCAAAGTTAAAGTGGCCTCGCACGTATGCAGAAGCCCCGAAGAGAAGCCCCATGCTAGGGAGTTTCTGCCATTTTCATAATGATTATGGCCACACCACCAACGAATGCCAGCACCTTCGTGACGAAATCGAGAGGCTCATACGCGCGAAGAATCTGCCAGAATTTGTGAAAGAAGGGAACCAGCGCCCGCAGCAGGTCTCAGCTCGGCGTGCGAGCGAGCCTCGCAAACCTGAGCCGGGAAGGGAAAAGCTGAATGAGAGGAAGGACCAGGTGGCGCCTGCCAACTTCATCAGCATGATTTTGGGAGGACCCTCAGGGGGAGACTCCAACAGGGCTCGGCGAGCGCATCTGAGGCAGTTGCGAGAGACTGAGGAGTTATTTGGAGAAGTAGAGGAGGCAGACCGGGCAAGCCGTGCACACCTCCGACGCTTGTGCGAGATGGAGGCTCAGCTCGAAGAGGTGCAAAGAATATCTTACGTTCCGCCCATTATTTTTGGTCCGCAGGGACGAAGAAGGAGTCAGGCAGCCATATTCTGATGCCCTTGTTATTACTGCCATGGTAGCAAATTTCGATATCGCGAGGATATTAGTGGACACCGGCAGTTCCGCTGATGTTATCTACTATAATTGTTTCAGAAAGATGAATATGGATTTCGAGTTAAAATATGTAGAGACAAGCTTGGTCGGTTTCTCGGGAGAGTCAGTGCAGTCGGTCGGGGAGGTATGCCTGCCCATTTCTCTAGGAATGGAGCCGGTGCGAGCAACACGGTCCGTGAAGTTTTTGGTACTGGATGCGCCTTCTACCTACAACATCATATTGGGGCGACCGTCCATGAACTCATTTCAAGCAGTAGTCTCAACTTACCATATGAAGCTGAAATTCCCCGTTTTAGATCAAATCGGGGAAGTCCGAGGGGATCAAGAGACCTCCAGGAGGTGTTATTATGACGCCTTGAGAAGAATAGGAAACATAGATACTATTCGCACTGTTTCCCCAGGTAGTCAGGGGAAGAAGGACCGGATGCCGGAAGTAGACCCCGCAGAAGAAGAGTCCCACGTGAAGCCGATGGAGGAATTAATGGTAATTCAACTATGCGAGAAGGATGCCTCTCGCACCACCCGCATAGGTGGCGGTTTAGACGCAGACATGTCTCGACAGCTAGCAGAGTTTCTGAGGCAGAATCAAGATGTGTTCGCGTTCACTCCAGCAGATCTCGGGAGTATCGACGAGCAGCTCGTGGTGCACAGACTGAACGTCAAGAAGAATGTGAAGCCGGTCAAGCAAAAGCGTCGACATTTTGGAGCAGACAAAGACAAAATTATACAGGAAGAAGTGCGAAAGTTGTTAGCAGCGGGACAGATCCGGGAGATCCGTTTTCCTACTTGGCTGTCCAATGCAGTTTTAGTCAAGAAGGGCGAGGGAAAGTGGCGAATGTGCATTGACTTCAGGGATCTCAACAAAGCATGTCCCAAGGACTACTACCCTCTGCCACGAATCGACCAGCTCGTAGACTCAACCGCCGGTTGCGAGATGCTAAGTATGATGGACGCCTCGCAAGGATACCATCAGATTCCATTGTGCCTTGGCGACCAGCCCAAGGTGAGCTTCATCACCTCCACTGGAACTTATTGCTACACGGTAATGCCTTTTGGGCTGAAAAATGCGGGAGCCACGTACCAGAGACTAGTAGACAAGATGTTCAGGGACCAACTCGGGAGGAACATGGAGATATACGTGGATGATATGCTGGTGAAAAGTCAAAAGGCGAGCACTCATTTGGAGAATTTAAAGGAAACATTCTGCACGCTCCGACGCTACGGCATGAAGCTTAACCCCAATAAGTGTGCTTTTGGGGTGAAAACGGGAAAATTCCTGGGTTACATGGTAACAGAAAGGGGAGTGAAAGTGAATCCGGAGAAGGTGCAGGCGGTTTTGGATATGGAGGCCCCACGAAATATTAAGGAGGTTCAAATGCTGGCTGGAAGAATAACAGCTCTGAGTAGATTCATATCTAAGGCGGGAGAGGCTAGTCACCCTTTCTTTAAAATACTAAGAAAAGGGACTCAATTCGAGTGGACGGAAGAATCGGGAAAGGCTTTCGAGCAGCTCAAGAATCTTCTCGCTCGTCTCCCGCTGTTAGCAAAGCCCGCGCCAGGAGAAAAGCTTTATGTATATCTAGCAGTGGGCGAGTTCGCGGTCAGCTCGGTCTTAGCCCGAGAAGAGGAGGGAGTGCAAAGCCCGATATATTATGCGAGTAAACTCTTGCGAGGGGCTGAGATGAGATACTCCGAGATAGAAAAGATGGGCCTGGCGCTAGTGACGACAGCACGAAAGCTAAGACCCTACTTTCTTTCGCACGCCATAGTGGTCCGGACTAACCACCCTATGAAGACAGTGATGGGATGGATGGAAGTTTCGGGAAGAATGGTTAAATAGGCAGTAGAGATGGGACAGTTCGATATCAGCTACGAGCCACGAATTGCCATAAAAGGGCAAGCCCTAGCAGATTTTCTGCAGGAAACGACGAGACCAGAAGAGCAAGGAATATGGAGGGTGTTCGTCGATGGTTCGGCGAATGCATCAGGAAGTGGAGTAGGAGTGGTGCTAGAGGAGGCGGGCGAGGAGTTGGAATACGCGATCAAGTTGCCTTTCAGAGCCTCAAATAATGAAGCAGAGTATGAAGCAGTTATACATGGGATGAAGCTGGTATCTTCAGCCGGGGGCAGGAAGTTGAGCATATTTTCGGATTCACAGCTAGTAGTACAGCAAGTAAAGGGCGAATTCGAGATAAAAAATGAGCGAATGATGGCTTATTGCGAGACAGTGCGGTCGATGATGAGCGAGTTTGAATTCTGCGAGCTAGCTCAAATACCCCGAGAGGAGAACCAGCATGCTGATTTTCTGGCAAAGGTAGGAAGCATGGCGGTAGGATACGAGTCAAGGAAGATACAATTGCTAGTGGGGGAGCCATGTAGCGAGGGCGAGGAGCGTGTTTCAACGGTGACAAGTGGGGAAGATTGGCGCACGGAAATAAGGGCGTGTCTGCAAGGAAAGGTCCTAGAGAGTGGCCGCGTGCAGAGGGTCCTGGAACAGCGAGCAAGCAATTTCTGCCTGATCGGGGATATACTTCACAAAAGAGGATACACTAGGCCGCAACTAAGATGTCTATCTCTGGAGGAGGGCCGTTACGTGCTGCGCGAGATTCACCAAGGATGCTGCGGGGACCATGCAGGGGGTAGAGAGTTGGTCTCGCGGGTGCTAAGGGCAGGATATTTTTGGCCCACTTTGAGAAAAGACGCGGGACAGTTTGTCAAGAGATGTGATAAGTGCCAGAGGCATGGCCCGCTGATTCACATGCCGGGACAGGATATGACGATAATAACTTCCCCTTGTCCTTTTGCACAATGGGGGATAGATATCGTAGGCCCCATGCCACTGGCCAAGGGGCAGAGAAAGTTCTTAATAGTCGCTGTAGATTACTTCTCCAAGTGGGTGGAGGCGGTGGCAGTGGCCAGGATAACGGATACATAGGTCATGAAATTCATATGGCAAAATATCTGCTGCCGATATGGGTTGCCTAGGGACCTCATTTCAGATAATGGAACACAGTTTAACTCAGCCAAGATACAGGGATGGTGTGCAGGTCTGGGTATCAAGCAGAGATTTGCAGCCGTGGCTCACCCGCAGGCGAACGGGCAAGTCGAGGTGATCAATCGGGTACTGTTAGAAGGAATAAAGAAACGTCTGGAGGGCGCGAAAGGAAATTGGGTTGAGGAGTTGCACGCGGTACTATGGGGATATCGAACATCACCAAAAGAAGCGACCGGAGAAAGTCCGTTCTCGTTGGTGTACGGGTCGGAAGCTGTCATACCAGTAGAGGTAGGAATGCCATCGAGCAAAATTATGAATTTTCAAGAAACAACTAACAACATGCGCTTGCGCGAGGAGCTGGACTTGGTAATGGAAAAGCAACAGAGCGCGAGAGGAAGGATGGAGCTCAGCAAAGCTAAAATTAAGGCAGCCTATGACAAGAAAGTAAGGCAGAGAGTCTTTCAAGTGGGGGACTTGGTCTTAAAACAGACGGATGCACTCAAAACGGTGGGAAAGCTAATGGAGAAATGGGAGGGCCCATACAAGGTAGTAGCGGTTCTCGCAGGAGGAGCTTACATGTTGGAGGATATGAAGGGCTTAAGGATATCTCGCGCATGGAACGTGTGTCATCTGAAGCGCTACTATATGTAGTGCTAGTGTGTTATAACATTTTGTATTATAAGAATAGGCCATATTTTTTATTGTTCATCCGTCTGCCTGCGGAATGAGCCATGTTTTTTAAGTAAGAAAAAACAGAATATGAAGTGGCCTCTTTAGGAAAACCTGGTGTCTTGAAGAATCTATAAACTCTTACTCGCACATAAGCGAGCAAGGATTACAATTGAGCGATAAGTAAAAAAAAAAAAAAAAAAAAAAAAAGAAATTATTGGAATATTTCCAATACGAAGTGTGCGAGCAAGGATTTGCATCGAGCAAATCTCGCTAGAAAGCGAGAAAAAAAATAAATTATTGGAATATTTCCAATACGAAGTGTGCGAGCAAGGATTTGCATCGAGCAAATCTCGCTAGAAAGTGAGAAAGAAAGAAATTATTGGAATATTTCCAATACGAAGTGTGCGAGCAAGGATTTGCATCGAGCAAATCTCGCTAGAAAGCGAGAAAGAAAGAAATTATTGGAATATTTCCAATACGAAGTGTGCGAGCAAGGATTTGCATCGAGCAAATCTCGCTAGAAAGCGAGAAAGAAAGAAATTATTGGAATATTTCCAATACGAATTGTGCGAGCAAGGATTTGCATCGAGCAAATCTCGCCAGAAAGCGAGAAAGAAAGAAATTATTGGAATATTTCCAATACGAAGTGTGCGAGCAAGGATTTGCATCGAGAAAATCTCGCTAGAAAGCGAGAAAGAAAGTTAGAAATTATTGGAATATTTCCAATACGAAGTGTGCGAGCAAGGATTTGCATCGATCAAATCTCGCTAGAAAGCGAGAAAGAAAGAAATTATTGGAATATTTCCAATACGAAGTGTGCGAGCAAGGATTTGCATCGAGCAAATCTCGCTAGAAAGCGAGAAAAAAATAAATTATTGGAATATTTCCAATACGAAGTGTGCGAGCAAGGACTTGCATCGAGCAAATCTCGCTAGAAAGCGAGAAAGAAAGAAATTATTGGAATATTTCCAATACGAAGTGTGCGAGCAAGGATTTGCATCGAGCAAATCTCGCTAGAAAGCGAGAAAGAAAGAAATTATTGGAATATTTCCAATACGAAGTGTGTGAGCAAGGATTTGCATCGAGCAAATCTCGCTAGAAAGCGAGAAAGAAAGTTAGAAATTATTGGAATATTTCCAATACGAAGTGTGCGAGCAAGGATTTGCATCGAGCAAATCTCGCTAGAAGGCGAGAAAGAAAGTTAGAAATTATTTGGAATATTTCCAATACGAAGTGTGCGAGCAAGGATTTGCATCGAGCAAATCTCGCTAGAAAGCGAGAAAGAAAGTTAGAAATTATTGGAATATTTCCAATACGAAGTGTGCGAGCAAGGATTTGCATCGAGCGAATCTCGCTAGAAAGCGAGAAAGAAAGAAATTATTTAGAATATTTCCAATACGAAGTTTGCGAGCAAGGATTTGCATCGAGCAAATTTCGCTAGAAAGCGAAAAATAAAGTTAGAAAATATTTGGAATATTTCCAATACGAAGTTTGCGAGCAAGCATTTGCATCGAGCAAATCTCGCTAGAAAACGAGAAACAGCAATTATTGGAATATGCGTCGAGCAGAACCCGCTCGAAAGTACGAAACGAAGTGCGCGAATGAAAGAAGTCATAATAGAACTCAAAAGCATGAAATGTAAAAATAAGAACGTAACAGAATAAACTCAAAACGATAGATAATAAAAATATCCAAATGAAAATTAACATTGTTCAGAAAAGAAAAAACGAATTGTTCAAGGTTGTTGCAAATAAAGAGAAAAATATAAAAGCCTCAGGAATGAGGAATATCAGGAAGGGTAGAGGCAGAACATGTAGGGTCCAGGCGAGCCATATTAGAGGGGGCTTGTGCGGTGTACTTGTTCAGCTCTGCGAGCATTCCCTCGAGCACCCCAGCCCACCATACGTAATCCACAGGTTCAGTAGGATTTCCCTCCCAGCCGGGGATCTCATCACCCAGCAAGTCAAGGATGGCGCTTATCTCCTCCGAAGGGTCATCAAGATTATGACGGGCCGCATACATACAGATGCCCCGGTCCATGAAGCCCATATCTATTGGTGCCGCGGCATTAGCAAAGTGTGCGGACGAAGGATACTTGCGGGTCAGGCCCTCGCGATACGCTCGCAGGAAGTCTTGCCCATCTATCGAGCACAGATGATCATACAAGCTCCTCGCACGCTCCAGTGCGACAGTCCTCATGCACTCCGCCTCCACCATCTCCTGTTTCTGCCGTGAAATTGCGATCAACTGCTCATTTTTGGCATGAAGGCGAGCGGCCTTGCTCTCAAGAGAGGACTTCATCGCATTATACTTCTCATTAGCTAGGCGAGCAGTCTCATCTTTCTCATTGGCCAACTCGCGGACCATGTCTTGCAGGCGGGTGACCTCATTGGCTTTCTCGCTAGCTAACCTTTTCATGAAGGCAAGCTCTTCGGCCTGGCGAGTAGGGTCTGTCGAGCCAAGACCATGAGCGAGAAGGACATTGATCTGAAATAGTATATAATGCAAGTCGTAAATATAAATATGCTAGCTGCGAGATTAAGAAAAAATTGCACTTACCTGGGAGCAATGGAATAGCAGTCGGGAATATTGCTGCTCGTGGGACATACGCTCGAGCGCCTGCGCATCCTCCACAAGCTTCAGCTGGTTGAAGTGTTGGGATAGCTAGTCGAGACTGCGGTCAGGCGAAAGGGACGAAAGGAAGCCCTTGTCAGCTGCACGATGTCGCTTGGACATCGTAGAAGTATGTTCTCCACTGGCGTCTCGCTTATGGCGGCCGACGTCATAGGGCACCTGCTCCAGCGAGCGAAAGGAATCATGGGCCTCTTGGTTATCGGCATTTTCGCTACCGAGATCGATAACGGGTTGCCAAACAGCGGATGGGGGAGGAGCAGTGGGGGTCTCTCGCCGTGACTCCGGGCGAGAGCCTGACCCCGTCGCCGCGCTAGTGGCCGCCTTAGGAGAGGGTGTGGAATCCGGAGGGGCATGGCTCGTGGACTCAGAGGGGGTGCGGGAGGACTGGGCGCGCTGCTTGGCGAGAGCCGCTTTCATAGCTTCTCGAATCATCTCGCCTGATGGAAAACACATGGCAAACAGGCAACAATGATTAACAATATTTAGTGATGGAATAAATCAAAAATAATAACGAAATATGGAAGTTATCCCTAATAAGTACCCAGCGGGCGAGGATCAGACGAGGACATATCCCACAGTCCAGCGCGGGCAAAAAGAGAGTGGCTAGCTACTATCTTCTCAACATCCCACAATTGGGGGGGGTGCGAGCGGTCAGCCGAGAGAGTACCTCCAAGCAGTCGGGAGACACCCCAACAGGGCGAGGGGCGGTCTCAACATACGACAGATCAAAACCCCAAGAAGTGGGCGAACGAATAAATAAAAAACGCTTGGGCCAATTATGTACTTTGTTAGTCAAACCCTTAAAAAGACCTACGCCAGGGCGAGCTGTAAGGTGAAAAAAGCCAGAAGGAGATCGATTCACCTTGAAGGCAGAATGGAACAGCTCGCCGGAGGGAGTTATGGAGGCCTCGGCGCAGATGATAAAAAAGGCTGACATAAATTTAATAGAATTAGGAAGAAATTGGTTGATGGGCACGCGAAATTTGCATGCCACATCTAAGAAAAATGGGTGAACGGGTAGCGATAAGCCCGAGAACAATTGGTCTATATGCCAGGTCATATAGCCAGGAGGAGGGTGAAGGGAGTCTTGCGAGGGGGAAGGAAGAGCTAAATCGTAGGAAATGTCTATCTCTTGACGAATGAGTAGGTCGCCAATATCGTCGGGAGTCAGAATCGAATGCTGGGGGTTGGTCAAAATGCAAACGGAGGGTCCCTCACTTTTGGAACCCGGATGACCCCTTTCTCTCCGCCAGATGGGGATGAGGTCGCATCGTCCCCCCCTTTATGTCGCGAGGGGGGGGGGGGGGGGGGGGGCTTGGCTTTCTCCTTCTTCAGAGG